AATAAATTGAAAGAACAAGCTCTTAGATAGAAATTACTTACATACTCCTCTGTCCAGGGGCGGACCTAGGGTGGCTGCAGTGGGGTCACTTGCACCCACTCCAAAATTTTTTTTTTATTAGTAGTAGTATATAATTAGATATTATATGTAGACTAAGGGCATCCAAGGAGAGTATATTTATATGTGATTAGGTGTTATTTTTTGAAAATGGAAGAGAGGACACATCCTATAGTTGTGTAGAATTTTATGTTTTAATTCTTCTAGATTTGGAAAACTGAAACTTAATTAAAAAATGTTCAATTTTTTTTGAAATGTATGAAAAAGTTTAATTGTTTTAAAAAGATTTCTAAGATATACTTAGTATTTGAAGAAATGTCTAGAATTACTACTTTAGTTCTTTAATTTTTTTTGGTTAAAACAATGAGCGTATTATTGATACTTTTTATACAGTATTTCAAAAATATTGCATATAATTTACAATATTAATCTCAGAATGCTATTTATTGATACTTTTTTTACCTTTAAGGTTTTAAATTTATTGTTATACAAATATCAACATTTTTTTTGTGCACAAAATGTGAACCCACTCCCTTAAAATCTTGGGTCCGCCACTGCCTCTGTCCCATAATTTTTCTTTGTCACGATTTTTAACAAAATGAAATGGGGGCGATTAGATTTTTTGTCTAGAGAAAATATGATACTCTCCCCATTCCTTAAAAACTTTCCATTTTGATTTTTAAAGCATATAAGGGTAGTGTATTTTGCTATTGACTTTGCAAAAATGCTCTTTTATGATATGATATGTATGTTAAGAATTAGTAAAAGTAAAAGTGGTTTTTAATTATAAAAAAGGGTTTTTTGGGACGGGTGAAAAAAAGAAAGGAGGTGGATTTTGTGGGAAGGAGGAAGTAGAAATGATATGAACCACATAATTGTTTTTCTATAACAAAAAATAAAAAAAGAAAATTTTGTAACAACTAACAACCTAAGGCTCCGTTTGGTACACAGATTTCAAATTATGGAATTGGAATTGAGGACTTCAATTCCAATTCTAGTTTTTGGTAGCACAAAAACTATATGGATTTGGAATTGATAGTGCAAAAAATGAATTGGAATTGGTGAATTTAATTCAATGAAATTGAATCCCATGAAAATCCAATTTCAATTCAATTCCAATTCCATGTACTAATAAAAATCCTAAAGAAAAGTTCTCCGGCCCGGTCGTGACTATTTTTTCTTGGATTGGTTTGGTGCAATGTGTTTTTGGAGCGGGAGATGCTAGGGGTACACCTTTTGTGTACCCCATCTGTACACCACCCCCTCCATAACCACTCATTTATTTTTTATTTTTATTTACTTATTTTTTTTTTAAATTTCTTGCCTATTTAACTGGTAATGGAGGGAGTGAGGGACAAATGGGGTACACCTTTGGTGTACCCCTAGCATTTTCCTTTTGGAGCAGTTGTCCTTATTTACCGTTATTATTCTAAAAAGAAACAATGATTTGTCTTTTGTTTCTTTTAACACTAACATTTCTTTTAATTTCTTTCGGTATAGAAAGGCCCGTTGTGAATTATTTTTTTAATAGTTTTTCCCTATTTTTTTTCCCTGAATATATCACCTTTACTATCATCAAATCAATTATTGAATTTGTGTGTTCCTCCCTATCATTGCTATATAAAACAACAGGAAAGTTATTGATACAGCACATGCATCTTCGTTTATATATACACATCGTTCTGTACGTGATTGGCTGCTTGAAAATTATTTAATTAATTAAGGGCCTGTTTGGGAATAGCTTTACAGATTAGCGTTAGCGTTTTGGATAAAATTTTAACGGTGCAGATCGTTTTGAAAACGCTAACGCTAAACGCTGCCCGTAGATAGCTTTTTCAAAACGCTAAAGCTAATAGCTAAAGCTGTTCCCAAACAGGCCCTAATACTTGCAGCTGAGGCAGTTCCTATATATATAGAAATTTTTTTCGAAGTGTTTTCCCCTCTGATTATTATTGTTAATTAAGTGATTAATAATTGTGCAATTAATAATCTTTGGTGTGTTTTTGCAGGTTCTCAATTACGTTCATGGCGCGGTTTAGGTTTGAAGGATTGACATGAAAGGATGTCAAACTGTTAGGCCCGTGACTCTCTCCCTCCCCATTATTGCTTTTCTATCTTTCAAAGCTCTCTCTACAGTGTGTTTTGTGGACTGGATTTGTACGAGCACATTTGTTTTTTCTTTCTTTAAATTTGCGGCTGTGATTTATTTTTCAAGTGCTATTTTGTTCAATTTTATTCACTCCCTTTGATGAGGGACTGAAATTTATAAGTGGTGTTGGGTAAATGAGCGTTTCTAACTTTCCTATTACACACTACCTTAAGATCATTTCTCATGAGGTGCTAGATGGAATTTGTTGGAAAGTGGATAAAAAATGAATGGTGGACGATGGGTGGTTGAATTTGCATTGCAAAGTGGAGTGCATAATGGTAACTCTAAGAGCACACTCCTAATACGTATGAAGCTCCGAGTCTTCATACATTCTCTTTGCCACATCAGTTTTAATTAATACCAAAATTTTACTTAAAATGAGTTTGAAGCCCTAGAGCTTTAAACTAGGGCTTCAAAACATTTTATTATTTAATTGAATTTAAAGGACAATAATTCATTAAATAAAAAAATACATTCAATAAAAAATACAGTAATAAAATAAGATTTGAATAATAACAACAACAATAATAAAAATATAAATTACATTACATTACGAAGAAATTATTGATTATTCGAATGACCAAAAATATCTTCATTCAAATCCGTCGTTAGTGCATTGTGAATATCTCGGCTTCAAATCTCTTGGGAGTTTCTTTGTTTCTTTTTTCATCGATTTCTTTACACGTAAACACCTCCTCGTCCGAGTTGTAATGACATAATGCAAACACGTTGTCCTCTATGATTAATTTATGAGGAATAATACATGCGTACATGACATTCCTCATTTTCGTCTAAAAATAACCACTACGTCAAAAACAGATGCTGACAGCTGTTTCTTTTAGTAGTCTCACGGTGCTGATTTCAGTAGTCTTCCGAGCAGCTGTCTGATATATTTACAGACTATTGTTTAAAAACAGTTGTGTAAAATGGTTGACGACACCTGTTTTGTAATGTTTTAGAGTACGACTTTTCAGTGTTGTCTTTGTATGAGTAAGACATTTGTTTTTTTAGAGTTAAAGAGAACTGTGATTTTTTGTTGTCTATCTATAATGAATACTACTGTTGTTTTTAACTTTAGACTTCTAATTCTTGGTGTTGTCGTTCAACAATATAGACATCTACTTTAAAAAGTAATTGAAAGATATATCAGACTGCTGCTCAGAAGACTACTAAACAAAAATGCCATTAGACAACTGTTATCTTTTGTTGTATTTCTAGAATATGGACTACTAACATTGTTCTTATTCAAACTACTGTTTGTTTTAGTTGTATATTGATTATTAACACAACGGTGTTTTGTAGTTTTACTTGAAGTATTCAAACTATCTTTTATGACAGTAGTTGAAATGTTTATGAGACAGCTACTCTAAAGACTACTAAAGAAATTTGCTTCAGACAACCATTATTTCGCGTTGTATTTTAAAAATATGAACTACTGTTTTTGTAGTATTTCAAACAACGATTTGTTTTGATCGTCTAAATGTTATTAATACTACGAGTTTGTGTAGTTGTACATATACTCTTCAAACTATTAGTTTGAATGGTAGTTAAATTTTTTATTAGACCTGTTATCTTGTGTTGATTACCAAATAAATATAAATTCAAAAAATACAATATATTGAACAATATATAAATTCATACATATAAAAGACTATTAACATTTAATAATTTAATATTTACATCATCTTCCTTACAATTTGCATATTCTACATGCATGCCTTTTTTTTAACCGGCTCAGAAACAAGTCTTCAGAGTTTCTGTGAATACACAGATCATTGGCAGTAGACTATCACACATTCAGTTAGCTATTTGCCTTTTCCACGCTAAAAAATAAACATTTTCCTTAAGCTAAAACTCATTCCTCTATCATGAGAAATATATAGAGTTTTTGTGCAACAACAAAGGTCAGAACATCATCAGATTTGTTGAAGCGCCAACTACAAAGGGCTCCAGCAAGAGCCTTGTCAAAAAGTAGAACATAACCCCGAGTTATGTTGGCTTTTCAATCCATCCTATTCCTCTGTGGAAAAATCCAATACGAATCTGTATTTCACACCGGCTTTGGCTAGGCGTTCCATGGCGGTGTTGACATAGTCCATTGGCACAATCTCAACATCGGGCGTGATGTTATGTTAGCTTGAGTCTCCTTTAATTTATTCCAGCGATGCCACTTCCTGCAATCAATTTTATGCCTGCGATCCACAATCAAAACATGAAATTAATGTCAATTAGTTCATTTTAGATCAATGTCAAGGCAGAGCAGAGATATGTACAGCACGTGAATAGAAGTGTGACTAATATTACATACCCATGATCAAGGGAAACACCAACAAGTCAAGGGGTATCTCCGGGAGACCAATCAATACAAGCTTACCATTGGTCTTCAATAAGCTTAGTAGTGGTGTAAGAGGATGAGCTGCAGAAACTGTGTCTATTATTTCATCAAGTGTGCTCCTTGTAGCCTTTTTTCCATATATACCAAAACCAATTATAAACCATATCATCATCAGAATTGTTAGCGAAATGAATAATAATACTCTCTAATTATGAATAAATTAATCATAACTTACCTGCATTTATTCAGGGTCACAACTGATCAAGAAAGAATCAACACCAAAATGTTCTATGGCCTCTTATTTTTTGTCGGCAGAGGTGCTGATGACAATAACCCGAAGGCTTTGGTGTACTTGACAAAAACCTTGGATGAGGGGGAGCGCGATGAACAAAGTGATTCTTTCATAGTGTGGGAATGGTCACCTATGTCATCATCCATAAGATTCATTCATTATATTATATTACAGTGTTCAAGCAACAATGATGGAGAACTTAGTAATTTGAATGCATAAACAAACCCACTGCCCAAGCCACAGACCAGTGATTCAAAGGCCATAGAAGCAACACAACAACTACTTCTAAGTGCAATAAACCTAACCATGCAATCAGTTGGGCATTCCACAAAGGTGGCAAATTTGCACAAGAAAATTCCCACAATGGTACACCAATCTAGGCAGTCTAGAAAGGCAGCAAAACCACGAGCAAAGTAATGTAGCCACAACAACAGGTCCAAAATAATACACTTAAAACATTCATGAATTGTCCACAAGACATGAATCAATTGGGTAGGCCACAAAATCCAACACCATACATTCAAAGCAAAAAAAGATGTTTGTTAATTCGTATTTTCCATAACAGCATCATGAACACCTCCAAAAACATAGATTGGGTTAAGTCATGCGCACTACCCTTTTTCGATTCAAAAACAACAATCCACAAACCACAATCAATAATCACACAGATAAATCACATAAATCAACCACAATAACAATTATAAACGGAATTTCAAACCTAGATGGTAAGAGAGAGAACTTGACCCGAACGGAGTGTAGACGGCGTCACGCACAGTCCGGTATCGCTGCCCAAGCAAGCCCGTCACTGCCCAAGCCCGCCCGGATCTGTCATCGTTGCTGCTCGATCTCATCCTCACTGTCCATGGTCAAAATTCAATGCCCGAACCTCACCTTCATGGACCGGAGGTCGCCGGAGTTGCTGGGTGACCACGGTTGTCAGTTTGCCGGAGAGTTACTGGCTCTCCGCCGCCACTGGATGCTGGCTGTTACTCTGCCCGAGCTGCTGGACTTCGCCGGAACAGAGGTCGCTGGACAGGGGGTTGCCGGCAGAAATTGTTGTTAGTCCACTCTGGTCAGTCACCAGCGTCGCTGCCGGAACTCGTCGTTGGATTGAGCGCTGTCGCGTTTCTGATTTGCCAGAGAAGAATTCACTGGAGTTGATGCTCGGATTTGGCCAAACGTCGTCGGAGCTCGCTGGTTCGAGGTTCCCAGAACGCTCCCCGTCATCGCCTCTGTAGATCGTCGCCGGTCGGACTCTTCCGCCTTGCCGTCGTAACCCATGTCTGCGAATCGAATAAGAAAGTGGAGCGAGGACGATGACGGCGATTTCGATCGAAGCAGGCGAAAGATCCTATTTATATATATACCCTAGGGTTTTTGTACTCTGTAGTTTAAAATAACGTGTCTGGGTAAAACATACTTTTCAGTTCAACTTGCTCCAAATTGAGATCCGTTCACATTGTTGGATTCAATTTGTCGATCCTTACCCAATGGTATGACTTTCAATGCATCAGATCGAATCAGATCGAATCTAATCAGATCAAATCATACCAAAATCGATCTAATAGGAACAAATCAAGTTCATGTCCAATAAGACCAGATCAAATCTTTAAAAAGATATATTTACTTGTTTACGTTGTGTCCTACTTACCTAATCTAATCTTTAAATTCACCGGATCGAACCTAATTCGATCATATTAGACCAAAACAGATCTAATTGAACAACCATGACCGGATGACTTAGGATTAAGCGAGTCATCAAACAAATACAAATGACATGTAGTGGCGAGTTAATTAAAACACATACTACTGAACAACATATATATCTTTGAATATATCAGAAACCAAAATATACCTGAATCGAAATATTCTAAAACTGAATTACATCCGAATCAAAGTATTTATGAAAATGAAATATATCTAACAAAAATCTATCTGAACCCGAAATCCATCTGAACTGATTAATATCTGAACCGTATCTGAATCGACTCAGAACTAAACTGAAACTAAACTCATCTGATTCGAATCGAACCAATCATTTGGTTACTTGCACATATCCAATTCTTCTAAATACTATACAAAATAAGAGGTGATAAGAGTATTTTATTTTATCAAATAATCAACAAACTTACATATAATTTCACTCAGATCAAATCAAATCAGACTAGATCTTAACATATTAGATCAGACAAGATCAGATCAAATAAGATATTATCAAATGACATTAAATCGTTGTTGGAAGAAACTAGAAGGACATAGAAAAGATGGGAAGTTTTCCCTCTTCCCAAATTCATTCTTCTTCTTCCCAAATTCATTCTCCCTCTTCCTAATTTTCACCAAATTCATTTTCCCTCTTCCCAATTTCATTCTTCCTCTTCCCAATTTCATTTCCCTTTTCCCAATTTTCACCAAATTCATTTTCCCTCTTTCCAATTTCATTCTCCCTCTTCCCAATTTTCACCAAATTCATTTTCCCTCTTCTCAATTTCATTCTCCCTCTTCCCAATTTCATTTTCCCTCTTCCCAATTTTCATCAAATTCATTTTCCCTTTTCCCAATTTCATTCTCCCCCCTTCCTAATTTTGTTTTTCCATTCAAAAAACACCACTCACTCAATAGCCCAACCTTATCCAACCTTAATCGCCATCGCGCCAGTGTTGTTCGAGAGCGAAGGATTCGCCGAGAGCCTTCGTCGTCAGTCCCAGCCATCGCCAATTCGCCGAGAGCCATCTCCGGCAGTCCCACTACCCAGCGCCGACTGCCCAGTCGCCAATTCATAGCCTTCGCCGCCAGTCCCACGCCATGGAAGGTACTGTTCACTCGAAGTTTTATCACCCCGATTCTATTTAATCCAGACACTTTTGATGGCTAATCTTGCGATATGTTGAGCGGTTTGCGATACCCCTCCTTCTTTTAAAGCTTTGGCTTTAACACTTGTGTCCAATTTTTGTAATAGGTTGTAGAATTAGCACTAGATCAAGTTTGTTGGGTTGTATTTGTTCGTTTGTATCACTTCTTTTAATATTCAATAAAATTTTAATTTCTTTATATATATGTATATATGTAACGCCCTGCAACCCGGTCTAATAGAATTAATGAACTTAATTAATTAATTACTGTTCCGGACCGGGGTTGGGAAAATGAAAAGTTCTTAGAAAATTTATTTGATCATATCATTAAATTCGTCTTGACTGTCTGATTCCAGAAACGCAAACGGATTTCAATTCGGACCCGTTTGGGGGAAAAAGCGCGTGCCGTTCAGGTCAGATTTTTACAATACGGAGTAAATAAGTATTTGTAACTCCCCATGCATTTGGTTCGGCCCTCTCAACCCCCCATCTTTCCCATTTAATTGTCTTTTTAATCACCATAAAACCCCATCACTCTCCACCCTTAAAACTCCTATTGTTGTAACCCCCATTTTGTGAATTCAATCATCAACTCCATCATCACCATTCATCTTCTCTCCCTCTCTCATTTTCGGCCAAGGCAAACAACAGCTCAGGAATCTCCGGTGAAGCTCCGGTGGGTGCAAGGTTGAAGGAGAAGAAGAGCTAGGCCGTCGTGCGAAGCGTGGTCGTCGTTTGTCCGTTCGTTAGCACCATTCGTTCATCTCGTTCCATCAATCCCTTCATTTAGAGGTGAGTAGTTGTCCCTCTAATTCTAGAACATTTAGTTATAATCTATGTC